TTGGCGATGACGTCATTCGAGAGATAAGGAATTGAATAAATGATGCTACCCTCGTTGACGGTGTCTTGGTCGTAAAGTGAACTAAGTAACCAATTGTTGTTGTTGTTGTTGTTGATGTTGCGGTTGTTGTTGTTGACGTTGTAGTTGTTGATGTTATCAAAACTGTTGATGGGGCGCAAGTAATGCTGGGGTTCTATGAGGATAGGCCGCAGATCCGACGAGTTACTATCGAATTCATATTTGCTGACGTTGTTGCTGTTGTGTTTTATGTAATTGTTGTTGTTGTTGTTGTCAAAGTTAATGTTGTTGACGCTGATAAATTTGTTGACAGCTCTGTCGTTCTTTATGTCATCGCTGACGGAAAAACCGCTGACGCCACAACTACTACTACCACCGTCAGCAACAAAGTTACTATCATCACCACCACAGCCAACATCACTACTGTCAAAAACTTTCGAGAAATTGTTGGGAAAGCAGGTCTCAGGCATATTGTGTGTCTCGTTATCAACTAGTTGTTGCGAAAGATGTTGTTGTTGTTGAACGTTGTTGTTGTGGTTGATATCACATAAACTTTGTTGGTGTTGTTGTTGCTGCTGCTGCTGTTGTGGCTGCTGCAGTAGCTGCATTTCAAAATTATTTTGCAGATGCAATTGGTTGTTGCTGATGTCTAGAAACTCTTTATCCTGGCTATCGTCATCATCGCAAGGGCTTATGAAAATTATATTTTCATTAGCGTTGCTGTTGGCGGTTCTCGAGACATCGGGCGACCTTGTAAAGAGGTTTAGTAAGGATGAGCAGCAGTCTAAGTTGCTGCTGCTGCTGCTGTTGTTACGGATAGTGTTGCTGTAGTTTAAGTAGTAGCTGCTGTTGTCTAGGCGGTCGTTGCAGCTAGCGACGGACTCCGTAGTTTTCAAGTCGTCGTCTGTTGGTTGCTGTAGTTGCCGTAATTCGAGTTGTTGATCGCTTTCTAGCGATTGTTGTTGTTGCTGTTGCTGCTGATGTTGTTGTTGTTGCTGCTGCTGTTGTTGTTGTATATGTTGTTGTTGTTGCTGATTTTGTTGTTGTATATGTTGTTGTTGTTGCTGCTGTTGTTGTTGTATTTTTTGTTGTTGATGATGAAAATTTTGTTGTTCATTGAAAAAATCTTCTCCGTGCAATTTTTTCCAAGTACTAAGTTCATTTTGCAGTTCAAAATGCAGCCTTTCCACATCACAGGGGGTGTCAGCGCTTCTACTGACGTCATTTCCGACGAAGTTATTGTTATTAATGTTGCAACTAGCGTTGTTGTTTATGGTGTTGTTGTTGTTTTTGTTGTTGTTGCTACAGAAAATATTGATGTCATTATCGTCGTCGTTCAAGAGACAGTCTAAAAACGAAATGGTGAGGTCGTTGTTAATGTTATTTTTGTTGATGTTGCATTCGTAGTCAGTATAGATGTTGTTGTTGTTGCTGCTGCTGTTGCTGTTGTTGTTGTTGGCATTAAAATTTCTGTATAGATTCATGTCCTCTTCGACAGTGTCATTGAAGCTGGTGAAAAAACTCTCAAAAATGACGTCAATGTAATTATTTGCGTCATTATTGTCATGGTTGTTGTTGCTATTATTATTATTATTATTATTATTATTATTGTTGTTGTTGTTGTCGTCATCATCATTAATATTGAAGAGATAACTTTTCTCATGAAATTCCTTTTGTTTGGAGCAATATCCATCATCATCATCATCATCTTCTTCTTCTTCGTTATCGTTATTATTATTAGTAGTAGTAGTGGTAGTAGTAGTAGTAGTAGTAGTAGTAGTAGCAGTAGTAGTAGTAGTAGTTGTTGTAGTAGTAGTAGTAGCAGCAGCAGTAGCAGTATCATTTTGAAAGTGACTTTCAAGCTGTGTGTTGTTCAATATTCAAAATTTTTAATTTAATTACTTTAAACAAAAGTAAAAAGTCAAATCTAAGTCATAAGAATAATAGTAACATTAATATCAATAACAATTATTATTATTATCGTTATTATTATTATTATTATTCTATTATTATTAATATTATAAAATAATAAAAGACAATCCTAATGTAATGTCAAAAAAGTGTTGAGCAGAGGTGTGTGTAACAATATTAAAATATATTAGGAACATTAATATAAAAATATATGGAGATAATTTGAAGTAATTATGGAAATAATTATGTATAATTATAGGTAAATTACGAATATTATTATTAATTAATTGGTAGTTCATTTATTTTTTGTTGAAATAGTTTGATGATTAACTGTAGAGTAATACCACTTACTGGTCTGTCTTTTGGTGGTTGTTTAGTTTGAATAAATAAATAAATAAATAAATGAGTAATTAGTTGATTAATTGATTAATAAACTGATTAATTGATCTAATTATTCTTTTTTGATTAATTTTACTAAAATCAAACATGTTTTTACGTTTAATAGCTGTAGTCTTTGTTGAAAGAAAAACGAAAAATAAATTTATTTCCATTGAGTTTTATCAAAAAGTTAGTTATAAAGAATTACAAAAAGTTATATCAGAATTAATTAATTAATTAATTAATATAGATAATTATATTATAATTAATGCTAACATTTGAAGGAATAATAACGGTCTCCAACTCCATCATCAGTCAGAAGTCAGAAAGGGGTATAGCAGAGAGTCTAGAAGACAGAACAAGTGACCTAAAACACTTATTCAATATCAACAAATACCCGACTTAATACCGTTAATTAGCGGTATTTTATACCAGTTTAACAGTATTCACCGGGAGACATTAAGAAATGTGTTAGCTCTTGGAGTTTAGTTTAAAATTAAATCAATAATATAGACGCTCAAAAAAACGAACAAAATCGACGAAAAACCTCTAATTATTCGTATTTTAACACGGACCGGCCGAGATTTACAAATATTTATCAATCAATTAGCAATAAACAGACAATATACCGACAATTATCCGACGGAATGTCGTCATTTAACTGTATTTTATACGCACTTCACGGAAAAAACTGCTAAAACTGTAATGACATACAGTCATACAGACATAAACATACGTATATATTCAGCTCTATAGGTAAAATTTAATAGTAAAACAAATTGTAGTAGGACTAATATAACAGTGATAATAATAATAATTATTATTATTATATTTGTATTTATAACTCTTTAAAATAACAAATTCTTTCCGTAGAATTGTCTACAAATTCGTATTTGGCGCTCCGTTTCCACGTGTTTTCGCTAATTTTTACCTGGATTTAACGGTTTACTATCTGACGGTAGGCTGTTGAAAAGTGAACTTTTATTTTTCAATATAACTAACAAGAGGAATAATAACAAGAATTATACAAATAAATTCAAAATAAAATAATAATATTAATAATAATAATGATAATAATAATAGCGACAAACACAATAACAATAATGTTTTTTATCTGTATTATCTACAGGCGTTTTCATATATATAATTATAACTATATTAATAATAATCATAAATATATATATATATATATATATATAGGCTATCAGATTGAGCTAAATTTATATATATATATTTATACATAAATATATATATATATATATATAACATGTGTATGTTGATCAATAAACCTTTCAAATTTTTTTAAGATGTGAAATATCAACCAGTGAAAGATGTGAAAGTCATTTGGGGAAGGCTTCAATCAATCAATTAATAAATTAATCAATCGATCAATTAATCAATCAATCACTCACTTTTTCTTTCGTCAATCAATCAATTAATCTATCAGTCATTTATTCATTTACTCACTCACTCACTCACTCACTCACTCACTCACTCACTCACTCACTCACTCACTCATTCATTCATTTATCAATCAATCAATCAACCAATCTGCAGCCCATTTATTAACGACGAATGTTCCGAGTAACAAGCACTGGCTCAAACCGATCGTCAGTAAGAAACTCAGAAACAAATGAAAATAACTAGGAATACAGCAATAACTGTAATAATAATAATAATAATAATCAAAATTATGATCTTTATTATTATTATTATTGTTGTTGTTGTGACGACAATGATGATGGCGATGATGAAGATGATGATAGGAGGAATGAAAGGGGCGATGGAGGTTTCCGGAAGAGAACAGGGCCAGCCAACCCTTGTAATGGTAGGGCTCTCTCGCATTGATGACGTCATCGTTCGAGGATGATGATGATGATGAGGAGGAGGAGGAGAATGGCGATGACGACGATGATGACAATGATGATGACGACGATGATGACAAAAACTTTGGAGAATTTTCCGCTGTTTGTAGTGGGCAGGGTTGAGTTTTTTTTACGTTTGCAAATTATGATTACTATTAAATTTAATATCATCATTATCATCATCACCATCATTATCATCCTCAACAACATCATCATCATCAATAACATCATCATCAAAAACAACATCATCATCATCACCCATTTTTAGTTCTATGGTGCTTGTGCCGACCCCTTCGGAGTTTTCGCATCGCAGGCGATAGGGCCGGTAACTAAGTTTGTTGACCTTCCGTACAACCAATGAAACCTCCCATCTACTGTGGTCTACGTTCTGATTGGTCAGTTGATTTCCAATACTCGTACGTGATTGGTTGAATGTTTGTATGTATGTTTGTTTGTTTGTGATTGGTTGTAGGATTGTATTAACGGACGTTTAATTGGTTAAAGTTTTGTTATATTTATTAACGACTGGTTGATTGGATTTTAACACTCGCTTTTGATTGGTTAGTTAATTTTGAATTATTATAGATCCTTTTGTATGATTGGTTGTCTGGTATTGAGAGAGTTATAAACAAAATTTTAGTAAAAACACAGCAGAAGCTAACTTTTACACAGGAATAAAAGTTATTATCATTCATGGCGAACACGTAGTTCTGCATGTTCTGATGTTGTTGTTGATGTTGTCGTTGTTGTAGTTGTCGTTGTTGTTTTTGTTGATGTTGTTGTCGATGTTTTTGTTGATGCTGATGTTGATGTTGTTGTTGATGTTGTTGTTGATGTTGATGTTGTTGTCTCTGTTGATGTTGTTGTGAAAAGTTATCGTGACGATGACGACGACGATGACGATGACGACGTATGTGCTGCTTCCGATCGAGGCCACTACCACCTCTTTGCATTCCCACAGTGACTTCATAATAGAACGGACTCTCGTAAGCATCAGCAGCATCGTCATCGTCATACCTGTGGCCGCCATCCTCTGATACTCTATCAGCAGCCCTACTGCTAGCATTGCTATAACGATTATTATCACCGCCATCTATGATGTAACTAGTTGCATTGTATTTGCTATGGCTATTTTTGCCCGAGGCATAGATACCATCATATTTATTATTATTGCTGTTATTATTATTATTATCATTATTATTATTATTTATATTATTATTATTATTATTATGAATGTTATTATTATTATTATTATTATCATCATCGTCGTCATCATCGTCATCATCACTGGACCAATGGATGGTGTAAATTTCGGGCCTGGCCCTGACATGGCAGACCATGGTGGCATTCTTCTCGCCCATTCTGGCGTACGTCGGCCCGTCGCAATCTATTTCCGGTTGGTCTGGTGGTGGTGGTGGTGGTGGCAGTGGTGGTGGTAGTTGTGGTAGTAGTGGGGGTGGTAGTGGTGGTAGTAGTGGTGGTAGTTGTGGTGGTAGTGGTGGTAGTAGTGATGGTAGTAGTGGTGGTGGTAGTTGTGGTAGTAGTGGTGGTAGTAGTTGTGGTACTAGTGTGGGTGATGTCAGCGATAATCTATTTTCGGGTGGTCTGATGATGATGATGGTGGTGTTGGTAGTAGTGGCGATGATGTCTGAAACAGACATCATGTGACATGATGTGGAAAATTGTGAAGACGATAAAATGATGTAGATGATGATGTTAGTACTTAAATAAACACACCTACACACATTACACACACACACACACACACACACACTTACACACACACACACACATACACGCACGCACACACATACGCATTCACTAACAGTACACAACAAGCGTAACGTTAGTGGTAGTAGCTTCCAGCGTTTTGTGGCTGGCCACACACTGAATTAGGGTGCCATCGTCATGTGAGTTAGCCACAAAGTTTGACCTCCAAATTGTCGATTTGTATGTCAAGAGACGCATATCTTTTGGGCCGGAGTATTCAAGGGTGCTGTTAAAATGTATGTGTGTGTTTGTGTGTGTGTGTTTGTTTGTGTAAGCGCGTGTGTAAATGTGTGTGTGTGTTTGTATATAGATGTGTGTGCGTGTGTTTGTGTTAAATATAATTGGTGTCAAAAATTTTCTTTATTTTTCAGTAATGCGAATGTCTGCTTGATCGTTCATATTTTCACTCACTCATACATTCATTCATTCATTTATTTTTTCATTCATTTATTTGTTTATTCATTCATTCATTTATTCAATCATTCATTCACTCACGTATTCCTCCTGAACATCTCTGATACGTTCTTTCCACCATGAACGATTGACATGGCTGGGGCAGGGTATGCGCCGTGGCTCACGCATTTCAACATTGTGGGTTTGTCTGCAGGGTGATGGTGATGGTGATGATAATGGTGATGATGATGGTGGTGGTAATGATGATGATGATATAACGACGATGACGAAGATCGATGATGGTAGCGATAATCGCCATCATTATCATCATCATCATTAACATCATCATCATCATCGTCGTCATCATAATCATCATCCTTCTCATTATCATCGTCATCATCAACATCATCATCATCATCATTGCCAACATTATCATCGTCATCATCATCATTGCCAACACCATCATCATTATCATCACAACCCTTACTTTGTTGAAGGGTAAGGGAGGTAAATTTCGTCTGAAAATCACCGTACATTTGGCTGGCTGGTAAAACGCCACTACTACTACTACTACTACTACTACTACTGCCACTACTACTGCTACCACCACCACTACTACTACTACTGCTGCTGCTGCTGCTGCTGCTGCTTTTAGCATTGAGGCTGCTAAAGATGCTTGTTTGCGCTAAAAAGTACAATCTCTTTACTGCAGCTGAATATGATGAAAAGGTTTATTATTATTATTATGATTACTCATCATTATCATCATCACTATCATTATTATTATTATTATTATTCATTATTATTATGATTCATCATTATCATTATTATGATTTATTGTTATCATTAATATGATTATTATGATTCAATATTATCATTAATATGATTATTTTGATTCATTATTATTGTGATTAATCATTATTATGATTCATTATTATGATTCATTATTATTATGATTAATTATTATCATTATTATTATTATTATTATAATTATAATTATTTTCGACTCTTAGAGATATGTAATTGTAAGAGAGAGGGTTGAAGACTGACAGAGGACGATGAGGTTGTGCGTAACACGGCCGAGAACCATGGACTTCTTACCCCTGACCTCACAAGAATAGTTACCACTATCCGTTTCAGTAACCCCTTGATGATGATGATGATGTTGAAGATGAAGATGTAGTAATGGTGATGATGATGATGGTAACATGATGATGATGATGTAGTAATGGTGATGATGATGATGGTGACATGATGATGATGAAGATGTAGTAATGATGATGATGTAGTAATGGTACCAACAAGTCAAGAAATTGAAATGAGTTATGCGATTAAATGTAATATTTATTACGATCATTTTCATCCTTTCTGTCTTTCACTCTCTCTCTCTCTCTCTCTCTCTCTCTCTCTTTCTCTCTCTCTCTCTCTCTCTCTTTCTCTCTCTCTCTCTCTCTCTCTCAAGAATTTGATCCGCGAAGACAATTTTCCAAATCATCATCAACAACGCCGTAAAATTACCGATCATCATCATCGTCATCATCATTCTCATCACCACCATCATCACCATCATCATCACCATCATCATGGTGGTCACGTCATAATCATCATTACGTCATCATTATGACGTCATCGTCGGCTTAGTGACGAAGCAAAAGAGTTGTAATCAACTGATCTCTAATTGAAAGGAATCCGGTAAAGAGATAACGTCATTATTGTTTCTTTTTTTTGTTTTCATCCTAATCAAAATTGTATTCTTTTTTTATATCCATCGTGTTTATCATCGTCACCTTCATCTACATCATCATCATCACGGAAGTAGTCCTCGTCGTCGTCATCCTCCTCCAGAATGACGTCATCGACATCAGCGGCATCATCATCATCATCAGCATCATCAGCGTCACTATAAACAACATTTCCCGCCAATTTTTGCGACGAAAACCTTACGTGACAAAGTGTTATGCTGGCCATTTGAACTTGTAAGGAATCGCTAATTATAATGACACCAACCCATACATACACAAACACACATTCACACACATACACACACATACACACACACACACATACACACACATACAAACGAACGTGTGAACAAGCATAAATACAAACAGACAAGTCAAGAAATTGAAATGAGTTATGCGATTAAATGTAATATTTATTACGATCATTTTCATCCTTTCTGTCTTTCACTCTCTCTCTCTCTCTCTCTCTCTCTCTCTCTCTCTCTTTCTCTTTCTCTCTTTATAAACAAAGATATACATACATACAAGGGGATGTTGTATATATACACAACCTTAAATTAATGAGATCAAGGCTAATTACAATAACCTTCTCCCTTATCTGAAGATTTCCATTTACACGTACAAACATACATACATACATACAAACATACATACAAACATATATACATACATACATACATACAAACGTACATACAAACATACATGCATACATTCAATATCATTATCACGATTTTAGCAGGCGATCCGTTTTATTTATAGTCATTGTTTAGTTGAAGTAGTAGTAGCAGCAGATGTAGTAGTAGTAGTAGAAGTCGTTATAGTAGTAGTAGTAGTAGAAGCAGTGGTAGTAGTAGTAGTAGTCGTAATAGTAGTAGTAGTAGTAGCAGCAGTAGTAGTAGTAGTAGATTTAGTAGTAGTAGTAGCAGCGGTAGTAGTAGTAGCAGTAGTGGTAGTAGTAGTAGCAGCAGTAGTAATAGTAGTAGTCGTAATAGTAGTAGTAGCAGTAGTATTAGTAGTAGTAGTTGCAGTGGTAGTAATAGTAGTAGTAGCTGCAGTTGTAGTAGTAGCAGGGGTAGTAGTGGTTTTTAGTAGTGGTAGTAATTCTGCCAATAACAATACTTTCAGTAAAATTACTAGCTATCACAGTGCCTGCCTACAAAACATTCATGTTATTTCTGTTGTTTTAATTCGTTGAAAATTCTTTTTGAAAAAAAAGCTTTTCATGATCGTATATGTTTTACGTGCTTCAGATCTCAACAATAAAAGTAGTGATAGTAGTAGTAGTAGTAGTAGTAGTAGTAGTAGTAGTAGTAGTAGTAGTAGTAGTAGTAGTAGTAGTAGTAGTAGTAGTAGTAGTGGTAGTAGTAGTAGTAGTAGTGGTGGTAGTAGTAGTGGTGGTAGTAGTAGTAATACTAATAATAGAAGTAGTAGTAGTAGTTGTTGTAGTAGTAGTGGTAGTAGTAGTAGTAGATGTTGTTGTTGAGTTAGTATTTTCAAAGACTCTAAATAAAGCAAAGATAAAGAAATTTAGATCTCTTAATGGCTGGCATGAGAGCACGTGGTCGAAATAATTTGCTTATAGTTCTTTGTTTTTGTTGTTGTTGCTATGATTATGTTATTGTTGCTGCTGCTACTGATGATGAGAGCGGACATACATACATACATACACAAACATACAAACATACATACATACATACACACACAAACATACAAACATACATACATACATACACACACAAACATACAAACATACATACATACATACATACATACATACATACATACATACATACATACACACACACAAACACACACACATACATACATACGTGCAAACAAACATACAAACAAACAAACATATACAAACATCCATTTATATATATATATATATATAATATATATATATATTAAAATACATCTACAAGGTTTAACATTTTATTATGAAAATATATAAACAATGGCTCGTGTGACGTCACGCTAATTATCCAATCAAATGACGCCAATTACATCACGTGAATATTTAACGAGATCACGTTATACGCCGGGCGTTGTTGGTAGATGAGGGGGGGGGGGGTCCAAGCTAATAATAATAATAATAATAATAAATAATAATAATCTCGAATACAAATGTCAATAGAATTCTTATATGGTGTCTGACTTGAGAATAGGCAATGAGTAGTAATATCATCATCAGCATCATCTTCATCATCATCGTCGTCGTCGTCATCTTCATCATCATCATGACCAGCAGTTGCAACACCGTCATCATTATCATCACGGCTTCAAAAATAATAAGTCTTTGGCGTGTTAATATAATGTTGCTTCCAATTATTATTAGACGACTCCGCGGCTCAACAGATGTAAACAACGACGAAACGGCCGAGGATCACGTGTTTCCGGTCAATAGGCTATCAACTTCCGGTTTGTCGGCAGACATTTTGTTTTTCGTATTTTGTTGTTGTTGTTGTTAATTATGACGTAATAAAACAATTGCTGCTACTAACCGTTGATGAAAATTTGCAGATTGTGATTGGGAGATCTGTTCGTCAGCTTCAAGTCGAATCTATCCGTCCGTCCGTCCGTCCATCAAACCAATGAATGAATGAATGGATGAATGAATGAATGGATGGATAAATGAATGAATGGATGAATGAATGAATGAATGGATGGATGGATGAATGAATAAATGAATGAATGAATAAACGAATGAATGATTGAAAAACTGAATAAAACTAATTACAGATTAATAACTAAACAATCACATAGACAAATATTTACAAGTGCTAACTTAGGAAGCAAACATTAAAAACAAATGAACAAACGAACAAGCAAACATCAAAAACATCTGTGCAAACAAACGTGATGTTCAAATGCAATACTCGCTTGTGTAATGCAATACGATTACTAATACGGATATACCGATTCTAACGAGTACCGATAATTACGAATACCAATGAAAACAAGCACGGACCGAGTCAAGTTTTGAATCTTCTCCGATCGGATACCCATCAAGTTCAACTCCAGCTCATCACCTATAAAATTTTCATTTAAATGAATGAATAAAACTGTCCAACAATTAAAAACAATCACACACACACAAAACAGACACACACGCACCCACACACACACACACATACATACACACACATATACGAAACGAAACGAAATACACACATACACTTAATAATTTCCCGCCAAATCTAACCCGGAAGTTGTTGTTTAGTCCAGAGTTGTGGATTATCAAACAAAGAATAAGTAGCCATTTTAAATTCGCAATCCATAGAAACATTGGAGCCAACTTCAGCCAATAGAATTTTGGGTTTCGTCACCATCGTCACTTCTGGCAAATATGGCTTTGACGTTGTCGGGGGACTTGTAGGTGCTGATGATGAGGATGAGGGTGACGTCAATGAAGATGGAGATGGAAAAGTTTTTGTGGTAGTTGGTTGTTGTTGTTGCTGATGTTTCTGACTTGGCTTGGACTCTGTATTCATTATTTTAAATTCTTCCATCTATTGTTCGTTTATTCATTTATTCGTTCGTTCATTTGTTCATTCATCCATCTATCTATCTATCTGTCCGTCTGTTTGTTTATCCATCCATCTATCCATCCATCTATCCATCCACTCAACTTTACATTCATTCGTCCATTAATCTGTCTGTCTTTCCATTCATTCATCCATCCATCCATCCATCCGTCCATCCATCCGTCCATCCATCCATCCATCCGTCCGTCGGCCCTTCCCCTTATTCATCCATCAATTTCGTTGCGTCACAAAAACGTCATAATTATCTTGGAATTTCGTCTCAAAATTACGACTATTATTTTGATTATTATTATTATTTATTATTGTTGTTGTTATTATTATTTTATTATTATTTATTATTATTATTATTATGAACATTATATTAAATACACATGTTTTGATCGATTTAATTGTTTGAAAATCATTGGTTGAATTTCGTTAAATTCATTCATTCATTCAACTATTCATCTTTTTAATTATTCATTTATTCGTTCGTTCATTTGTTCATTCGTTCATTCATTCATTCGTTCGCTCGTTCGTTCGTTTGTTCATTCGTTCGATTTTCAACGTTTCTATAAACTTA